ATACAGAACCAACTTGGAGGTTTCATGTAATGTGATCAATGAGGCCCCAGTGGTTTTCAAACAACACGCAGAACCACTTTCCAATAAAACAACAAACGATGGAAGGTAGTTTGAACCAGTTACTTGAACAAGAATCAAAGGTAGAGAGTTATAAAGTGAGCCTGACAATATCAACTACGCTCACAAACAGTGGAGAGGTCCATCTGAAGAATAAAGCAAATAGGGAAAGTATCTGAATCAAAGACGCTATCGATTTGTGAGACACTTCCTAAAGAATCGGCAGATCACTTACCAAAAAGATTGCACACAAGCAAAGAATGTTTTTCAACAAAACAAAGTGACGATCGTCAACAGAAGAGCTGTTCAAGAATGCTTGCTTTTACATTTGTTGGTGGTTCTCTAAATGAGATGCTGAGTAAAGATCCAAACAGCCACCAACCCTCATCCTGATTGAGCAACAGATTTTCCGTTTCAGCTTCTGATATGCAGTCATGGGGAATGATGGTGGTGGTGCACATCCCACTAACTGAGAATTTGGCTAGATAGAAATGTATATAAATATTGAACCTCTCTTGAAACAATCACTCGTTATCTTAAACTTCTGGAGAACATACCACACAACACACAAAAAGATATCAAACAAAAATACTGGGCTTCTTGCTTATAAGAATAATAAAGAATAGCAGACATTTTGTGGTCTTAAATTTGCAGAGGCAATTAGAAATATATAATAAACCAGAAATATTAACATTGTACAGACATCCAGGTTGGGTAAAGGGACACCAAAGTCCAGATCAAACTTGAGCCTTCACAACCAGTTGAGGGTCTGGTAAGAGATAGCTTTGCTGAGGGGTTAAAAGCACAGAACGGGAGATTGAATCACGACTTCTGGGGCATCATTGAAGCTAGTGGTATATTCACAGTTCTTCAGTAGAGATAGATGACAACTTCATACACACACCACGATATCAGAGAAGACAGACCAGTCATGACAAATAAACGTAGTCTTAACAACGTTATGTCTGTTCGACCATACACGCGAGTCGCCGGCCGCCGATATAGCAAATGGCTTAATGCATAACACAACACAAACCTTCATTTCACCAACACATTCACAGGGTGGTCATACATGGTCTTCAAATTACAGCCTCTGAGAGATAATATAACAGATAGGCGGAAGTTGGCAAGGTGGCACACACACAACCAACACCCAAACACGTCACACAGTAAAGGCATTTAATAAATAGTAAATAATAATAACGTAGTTCACACAACGCCACAAACGCTTCACACTGCAAGCGTGGCCGCCGCTGGGCGTGGGTCGTAATGTGGGTCTCCCGAACTCCTTTTGCCTTTTTTTTTTTTTTTTTTTTTTTTTTTTTTTTTTTTTTTTGCTGGAATTTTGCTCATGTTGCCTAGACTGGAGTGCAATGGCATGATCTTGGCTCACTGCAACCTCAGCCTCCCAGGTTCAAGTGATTCTCCTGCCTCAGCCTCCCAAGTAGCTGGGATTACAGGCATGCACTACCATGTCCAACTAATTTTGTATTTTTAGTAGAGACAGGGTTTCACCATTTTGGTCAGGCTGGTCTTGAACTTCTGACCTCAGGTGATCCACCCACCTCAGCCTCCCAAGGTGCTGAGATTACAGGCGTGAGCCACCACACCCAGCCTGGATGCTTCTTAAAAGCAAGGATGAGATAAGATCAGCCTGAAAGAGATCAGTTCATTGCCTTCCCAACAGTCACTTCCCTTCATCTGGCATTGTTGTTTGAGTTAGCTGCCCATCCAGGGCTTCGCTTCCCTGCTCCTCTTGGATCCAGGCAGGGCTCTCTGATGAATTCTCACCAATGGGATGTGAGCAGAGGGGAAGTCTGTCACTTCCAGACCATTACTTTTAAGAAGTGGGTGTGACCTTTCCATCCTTTCTTGCCCCATCTGACATTTATAGGAGGCAGAGCCACAAGACACGTCCTCAGATCAACTTGTAGAGGAAGTCACCTGCCAACCATGAACATCCTCATTGGGCTGTTACACAAATGCAACATTAACTTCTGTGTGTTAAGCCAATGAAATGTGGGGATGTATTTGTTACAGCAGCTAGTAAGCCTCAGAGAATACCCTAACTTCTTTCTTCCTAACACAAATCTGATTTTCTACCCCCTCAATGTGCCCAGTTCCAGAGGATGACTCATGATTGGTTCCTGCTAATCATGGTAACCTCACTTCCCTTTGTCAATGATTGGTCTAAGAATGGACATGTGACCCAGATGTGGCCAATGAGACATAAGGAGAAGTCTATTCCATTCCTTTGTGACAAAAAGTGAGAATTTGGGCCAGGCGCAATGGCTCACACCTGTAATTCCAGTACTTAGAGAGGCCAAGGCAGGCAGATCACTTGGGGTCAGGAGATCGAGACCAGCCTGGCCAACATGGTGAAACCTCTTCTCTACTAAAAATACAAAAATTAGCTGGGCATGGTGGTACACACCTGTAATCCCAGCTACTCAAGAGGCTGAGGCAGGAAAATCGCTTGAGCCTGGGAGATGGAGATTGCAGTGAGCCAAGATTGGACCACTGCTCTCTAGCCTGGGCAACAGAGTAAGACTCCGTCTCAAAAAAAAAAAAAAAAAAAAAATTAGTGAGAGCTTGTCCGTGTTCCCCTCTCCTTCTGCTTTTAGAAATTATTATGAAGACATGCATGATGGTGCAGTGGCAACCATCCCATGACCATGAGGAGAAATATCACCATCACACTAACAACAGCAAAGAGGAAAGATGGGAAAAAAATGTAGGTCTCAATTGACACTGTTGGCTACTGCCCCATTCCTGGAACTGCCTACCTCTAGACATCGTGTTAGGTGAAATAACAAGAGTCGTTGTTTAAGGCAATCACCAAGTATTTTGTTCATTGAAGCCTAAAGCATTCCTAACTCACATGATGCATACGTTGAAAATGATTCTCAGGTTAATGGGTGATAGGAAAATAGTGGCTGGTAATGTAGGAACCTCCACATTTTCCCTGATGTTTTTGAGGGCTTGGGGGCCAAGTGAATTGTCTAATGTTGGGAAATTCCCACAGGCAGGGAAGTGGTACAAGACAATGGTTCTGTATCTTCATCATTTCTGGAATGATCCCCACCTCCAGGTGGTGGTAGTAGCTGTAGGAGGATTTACCTGACTAACAAGGTTTGGGCAAAGGATACTCTCTCTGAGGCCTCTTTCAACCCTGGAATTTGGGGCAGCTCCAATTTCATATTGTCCAGGAGCTGTTCTATGTTCCAGGGCCCTTTGGGTCCTAAGTGGATTTGTAATGCACCATCTTAACAGCTTGAATTGGGTATTCCTGACTTTCACTGATAGTGTGATTTGACCTCTCTGAGCCTCAGTTTCCTCATCTGTAGAATGGGGATACCCACACCCGTATCTCAGCGTAAAATAACGTCGGTAAAGTGGTTAATATAGTGCCTAGTTCAAGTGCCTAGTTCATGACAGATGCTGGGTGAATGTAGCTGATTTGTGAATTAGGATTTGCAAGTACCAGTCTGTCTGGCCCCTGAGATCACTGGCTGGGTTATGCACCATCCTCCGGGAACCAAAGTCTCTGTCACCTCCTGCCTTCGTGCTGATTCATACGCACATACGCCGTCACTCTGCCCTAGGGTGCTGGCTTCTCTTCAGGTTCTGGATGTTAACCCAGGCCTTTCCCTTTCAGTCAGTGCCCTCTGGGATGGGCTCCTATGTTCCCTGGGGGAACAGATCTCCCCCACCCCAAACCCCATCCTCATAGCTTGGCCTGCAGAGCATCTCCTGGATGTCCTGACCCCTGGCTTACCACCCTCTCATTCAAGGGTCTCAAACTCACAGTCCATGGAGCCAATTCAACCTGCCTCCAGGTCTGTTCCATAGTGTTTCAAAACATAAATGTGGGTCACGCACTCACTCTCCTGGCCACAGGCCCCACTCCTCCCTATTGGCTAACCTCCCTTCCCCCTAATTCTACATTTTCTGTAACTGCCCAGAGCCAGCAGGAATTTGAATTTGCAGTTCCTGGTAGGAATCTAAGACCTGCCCACTTCTGGGGAACAGCGTGGGCAAGGAAAAGTGCAGAGAAGTCCAGTGGCCCAGGTCAGGGGATGTCAGGCAAGGGCCTCCTGCTCCTTGGGCCTCAGTCTATTCACCACAGCATCCATGGTCCTGGGCACATGGGAAGCTCTTGGCAAACACAGTTTGAATGAATAAAGTTTCCTCCAGGCAGAGATCATCTTCATTTATCTAATATCTAATTAGGCCTGCACCTCCTCTGCTTCTGAATTTTAACAACCTGCCTTTAAAAGACAAGCCTGCCCCATGATGGATTCCCTAGGGACCTTGGGACAGGCAGCTATAGGGATCATATTGAGCCAGGGCTGAACAACCTGGTGATGGAATTAAACATGTGCTTAGGGCACTAGCCAAACAGGAGCACAGAAACACATACACGGGTTTTGTTTTTTGTTTTGTTTTGTTTTGTTTTTTAAAAAAGGATTATTATGGGAGGAAAATAATTTGTCGAACTTTTTTTCTTTTTCCTTTTTTGAGACAGGGTCTCTCTCTGTCATCCAAGCTAGTGTGCAGTGGTTCAATCTCGGCTCACTGCAGCCTCAACCTCCCAGGCTCAAGCGATCCTCCCCTCAGGTGGTGCCACCACCCCTGGCTAAGTTTTAAAATATTTTGTAAAGACGAATTTGCCCAGGCTGGTCTCGAACCCCTGGGCTCAAGCGATCCTCTCACCTCAGCCTCCCAAAGTGCTAGAATTACAGGCGTGAACCACCTCGCGCGGCCCTGGAGTTATTTTACAGGCTACAATTTATTTATGCATGATTGCGGGAGACCCTGATATCTTCCAGGCTTAGGGCAGCGAGATCTGAATGGGCTGGGGACCACCACCGTGCTTTGCTTTTCCCTGGCAGGGGGAGCTGTGGCGCAGCAGGCGCTGCCGGACGGGCGGCGAAACTTACCAGTGGCGGGGCCCGGACTCCTTGTCCTTGGTGGCTCGGGCCGCTTGTCCGACGCTGCTGCAACTGCGAGTCCGACGGTGCCGGGAGGACTGCTTGCTGCGCGGCCTCGCTGCGCCACACCCCCAACCCCACGCCCGGGCGTTCTGGGACCCCTGGAACGGGCGCCTTTGTGACCCGCATAGGCATGGACGTTCTCCCCTGCAAGTCCACAGGGAGGGCACAGGGCCCTCGGGAAGAGAGGACAAGAGCAGCTGGTTGGAGGGAAGCTTTTGGTGGGGGGAGAGGGGCGACACACTCTCTAAAGATCCCTTACCACACTACTCATGACGCTAAGTGACTTCTTGAGTCAATCAACAATCTCAGCCCCTCCCTCGGCCAACGCCATGCAATCGCTGGTCAACCTCACCCCACTCACACCCCATTCACTGTCTTCTTAGCCTACACCTACACTCATGCTCCCAGCAGCCCTGCTAGGTACGGACTTCATACGCAGCTAACTCAAAGGAGCCCAATTTTCCCTACTCTGGGAAAAAAAAAAAAAGAAGTTGGGGGGGAAGATAAATCATTTATGAGAAAAATAACTTCATCAGTGAGGGAGAATTTTCTTCAGAACATTCACCTGACCCCCACCCACTGGAAGGATAACACGGGAACCCAAGTGTGATCCAGGCAAGTGAGCTTTTCACTGCCCTAACGGAGTTTAGTAGTTTAAAGATACACATTTTTCATACAATCGGCCCTGAAACACAAGTCAGCCCCTCTAGGGCTAAGCTCTAGAAACAATCACAGAATTTATGGAAAATTATTGGGGGTACGCATTTTCTACAGTAATTTTGATTCCATGTGATTTCCACTTTAACTCCTCGCCCCCTGAGTGGATTCAAGGGTCTCAAACTCACAGCCCATGGGGCCTCAGACCTGCTAAGGCTCAGCCCTGCTAAGGTCTCCACTTGATCTGTAAATTCTTGGGACAGGATGTGTTTTAGAATTTACCACATTTTGAAGGCCAGGTGTGCTGGCTCATGCCTATAGTCCTAGCACTTTGGGAGGCTGAGGTGGGCAGATCATTTAAGGTCAGGAGTGCAAGACCAGCCCGGCCAACATAGCGAAACCCTGTGTGTGTGTGTGTGTGTGTGTGTGTGTGTGTGTGTGTGTGTGTGTGTGTGTGTGTTTGTATTTCTACTAAAAATATAAAAAATTTAGCCCAGCATGGTGGCGTGCACCCAGTGGGTGCCTGTAGTCTCAGCTACTTGGGAGGCTAGGGCAGGAGAATTGATTAAACCCAGGAGGCGAAGGTTGCAGGAAAAAAAAAAAAAAGAACTTACCATATTTTTGGTTTCAGAAAGATAATATGGTACACAAGGGAGTATGTTGCCCCGATGTTGCTGGCAGCCACGTTGTAACCATGAGGGAAGTCAGTGGGACAGTATATTACATATACGGTTTGGGCAACACGGTCCAAACCAAACACAGTACTGTTTCTGCAAGGAAGCATCAATACTTATGTCAAGTAAGGAGGATAGATTTTGAACAGCTACATGTCAGGCCTTACCTCCAAATGATTCATATGAAGAGTTTTGGATACATTTGACCATCCTCATTTTCCAGATGGGGAAACAGACTTGGAGAAACCTTGTTTTGCAGTCAGTGGAGCAGCCAGGATTTGAACCCAAGGCTCTCTGTCTCTAGAGCCCCACGCTTTTCCATAACCTGACTGAAACCGCAGCCCCAAAGCTGAGCAGCCCTGCAAGCTAATATCTCCCATCTCTGATATTTAAAGGGCTGCTCCAGCACTCAGCTCCACGCAGAGCCCAGTGACTCACACATTTCAAGTGTCAACGACTGAAAAATGATTAAGTTCAATTAGGTTCAGGACTTGTTAAAAATAGACCTTCCTCTGACGAATTTACTCTCTGTGTCTTTATGGGCGCAGCTCTCAGCAGCCCCCATGCAGAGACATACCAGGCTTTTTTAATTAGAACATGTCAGAATCGATTCTGCTAAAGGGACCTTCTGCTTCATCAGCGGGACTTGGAGCAGGGTGAGATGCCAGCTTGCCAAAGCGATGAGCCAGCGGTGGGAAACGCTGGCGACAGCAGAGCCTCTAGAACACAGGAGGAAATTAGAGCCAAGCCGCAGAGGGACTGGGCAGAGGCATTTGGATGCAGACCAGAAAACTGACGGTCCAAGTGACTCTTTGGTTACAAAAATCAGAAACCCACTTGAACTCACTCAAAATGATTTTTTTTTTTTTTTTTTTTGGCCTCCTCAGCATCTGTTTCCCTTTCCTTCTTCCCAGCCGAGCCCAATTTGTTCAGGTAACAGTCCTTCCCTGTTAAGCCTATGTAACCAGAAGCAGTTGAGTTTTACACACACCTCCAAGGTAGATCTCCATTAGTGTTAGCCAATCACAGCCATCCCATCCTCCTTGCCAATGACTGGGAATCTAAGTTTAAGCCAATTAGTGCATAGCATTCTCCCAGAAACTGCTACTGGTCCAGGAATAGGCATGCGACTGACAGTGGCCTATCAGACAGAAAGGAAGACTTGGGTTGGAGGGAGATGCTTTTCTACCCTTATGGATGCAAACAAGAAAGCATGTTGCCCGTCATGTTGCTGGCAGCCCTCTGGCAACTATGAGGGAAGACAGTGTGAGATCAAGGCTAACACATGATGGAGGGAGGAGCCTAGGGAGAATTACAGAACAATGTGGCTGGCACGGTGATCGTACCATGCCTGAAATCCACCTTAGGAACAATAGGAACTCTGCACTTCCTATTATGTAAATGAATATGTTTTCTTGTTTTTTTAAGCCAGTGTGGATTGCAGTTTCTGTTTCTTTCATCTAAAGCATGCTGCATCATATGAATACTAGGGCTACCTCGCGAAGGTTGGAGGCAGATCCCATGAGGAACAAGAACTCAGAACTAGTAAGCTGTCAGAAACCAAGGCAGCTCCTCCCTCCAGCCCTCTTTGGAACCACCTGGTCTCTCAACTTGGCCTCTTTTTTTTAAGGACTATTTTCTCTGCTGTCCCCTCTTCCTGCCATCTTGCTTCTTATGAGTTCCCATTTTAGAGCTCAGCTAAAAAAATAATAAATCAATGTCCTCATCTCAATTTCCTCATCTCTTCCCAAGAGATGCTCCAATGTCCTCCTGCCTTCCCAAGAGAACACAACTGTCCAAGTCTAGATTTGATGTCCTGGCCCAATGACGTGGGTCCAGGGAACCGTGGTCAGGTGGCCCCCAACAGGGACTGTGAAAATAATTCTCACCAGGCGCAGTGGCTCATGCCTGTAATCCAGCACTTTGGGAGGTCAAGGTGGGTTGACTGCTTGAGCCCAAGAGTTCAAGACCAGCCTGGGCAACATGGCAAGACTCTGTCTCTGCAAAAAAATACAAAGATTAGCTGGGAACGGTGGCATGCACCTATAGTCCTAACTACTCAGGAGGCTGAGACAGGAGGAACACCTGAGCCTGGGAGTTTGAGGCTGCAGTGAGCTATGATCATGTTGCTGCACTCCAACCTGGGTAACAGAGCAAGACCCTATCTCAGAAAAATAAAAAATAAAAATAAAAATAAATTCTTAGAAAAGGGGGCATAGGCAGGGAGGGCACAGTAGTGTAATGGAGAGAACTGCTCTGCTTTGTGCCCTGAGAAAAGCAAATAGACCTCTCTGAGCCTCAATTTGTTGTAACTGCCAGGACCAAATTGAGAACTTTAAAGTCTGCAAAGGTTGTGAAGCATTTCACCCCACCTATGGCATTCAATAAAAACAGTACCGATCCACAAGCTAGGTGTGAAGTAGTCTGGATTCCCACTTCTGCTGTCATGTATACTGAATAACATAACAAATCATTCTGGGGGGAAAAAAAAAGTGTGGGTGTCCCGACTTCACTAGTGCCATTAGTCTCACTTCATTTGTTTTCTGGGTAAACAAATAAACTGTTGTTGTTTTTCCTCAGCGAAGGAGGCCACTCTAGCCCCTTCCATCTTCCTCTGCCCTGCCGAGTGGCCTAATCTCCACGCCTGTGGCATTCGAGGTCCCCCAATCCTCCCCCCTTCTATGGTGGATTGGACGAGAAGAGAACACCTCACACAAGTTAAATCAATCAGAGCTCCTTTCCCAGGAAATGGAATCTGGACACAAAATTCCCTGGGAAACAAAGGATTGATGAATAGGTTAATGAGGTGTTGGATGTTGGAGCCAACAGACTGTGTGAAGTCAGGCCAGGGTAGCCTACTTTTGCCAAGTCTACACTGCTGTAGCCGCACAGGCAGACCAGGCACAAAGCCCTTCCCTCATGTTTTCCTTGCTAGCAAAGTCCTGATTTTTATTCTAGTCTTCGGTGGAGGACCCTGGATCTCACTGGTCTGAAGATCTCATTGAGCCTACCTGAGATCTCAGGGTGGCCAATGAGGGGAAATCTGCTGGGAGAACTTGGGACAGATGCTGGCCGAATGTCTCCAGTCCTCAGAGTCCATGGTGTAAGCTGAAGTGCGTGGGCCTACAGGTGGAGGGAGGTGAGTTCTGTTCCTGCTGCAGAGCCACCAAGCCCGCCAGATCATCCAAGGCCTAATGGCCTTCAGTGCATTCCACGTCTGCTTAAGCCAGCTGGAGAGGATTCTGTTGTTTGCAACCGAGAACTATCAGATACAGGCTTTCCCTTCCAGAACCAGGTGCTTCAGGGGCTGCAGGTTATGGTGCAGCCAAGTCCAAAAACCACACGGCAGACAACCAGTCCCAAAATAGCACAGAAATGGCATCAAAAAATTCTGATCACAGGCCAGGTATGGTGACTCACACCTGTAATCCCAGCACTTTGGGAGGCCAAGGTGGAAAGATCACTAAAGGTCAGGACTTTGAGACCAGCCTGGCCAACATGGTGAGAGCCTGTCTCTACTAATAATACAAAAAAAATTAGCCGGGCATGGTGGCACGCACCTGTAGTCCCAGCTACTCAGGAGGCTGAGGCAGGAGAATCGCTTGAACCTGGGTGGCAGAGGTTACAGTGAGCTGAGATTGCACCATTGCACTCCAGCCTGGGTGAACGAGAGAGATTCTGTCTCAAAAAAAAAAAAAAAAATTCTGATCGCAAAGATATGAATCTCTTTAGGGGGTGGACCCCAAGTTCCTGA